GTAACCCATTGTATGGATATACCATCGTTGTATCATTTTGTTTGTTTCTACTGTGTCCTTTTGTTGATGGATATTTGTGTGGTTTCTGTTTTTTTGCCTATTATGAATAAGGCAACTATGAACATTCTTGTACAAATATTTTTGTTGACATATGTTTTTATATCTGTTGGGTAAACATCTAGGAGAGAAACTGCTAGGTAATTGGGTAGATGTTTGTTTAGCTGTGTAAGAAACTGCTAATTTTGAAAGTGGTTGTAGTATTTTTATATGTGGTATTTTTATGCCAGAAGTGTATGAGAGTTCCAGTTGCTGCACATTCTCACCAACATATGATGATGTCAGTATATTAATTTTAGCCATTCTAGTGTGTGTGAAGTGGTAGGACATTTTGGTTTAAATTTGTGCTTCCCTGATGAGCACCTTTCATGTGTTCATGTGGCCATTTGCATATCTCTTTGTAAATTGTTCAAATCTTTAGCCCATTTTTAAAAATGGGGTTGTTTTTCTTTTTATTATTGATTATAGTGGTTCCTTTGATATTGTTTCCCAATCTTTTGTTAGATGTTTGTATTGCAATAACTTCTTGTAGTCCATTGCCTGCCTTTTTATCTGATTAAATTGTATATATTTTTAAGAACGACTCTTTTATATTGAAGCTCTCTATTTTATCAACATTTTTTTTTTTTATGGTCAGTGTTGCTTTTCGTGTTCAATTTAAGAAACCTTTGCATACTGCAAGGTGATGAAGATGTTCTTTTATGTTTTCTTCTCCAAGGATTTAGCTTTTACATTTAGGTCTATAATCTATCAGAAATTAATTTTTATGTACTGAGCGAAATAGAGGCTGAAGTTTATTTTTCCATAAAGATGTCTTATTGTTTCAGTACCATTTGTTGAAAAGATTTTTTTTCTCCCCATTGAATCATCTGTGTACTTTGGTCAAAAATCTCTAGGGGCACCTGGGTCGCTCAGTTGTTGAACATCAGACTCTTGATTTCAGCTCAGGTCATGATCTTACAGTTTGTGAGATGGACAACCATATCAGGCTGACAGGACAGCATGGAGCCTGCTTAGGATTCTCTCTCTGTCTCTCCCTCTCTCTCTCTCTCAGCCCTGTGCCCCCTCCTTGTGCTCTCTGTCTCTCTCTCTCAAAATAAATAAACATGAAAAACAATTAAAAAAAAAATTTTTTTTCAACGTTTTTTATTTATTTTTGGGACAGAGAGAGACAGAGCATGAATGGGGGAGGGGCAGAGAGAGAGGGAGACACAGAATCTGAAACAGGCTCCAGGCTCTGAGCCATCAGCCCAGAGCCTGACGCGGGGCTCAAACTCACGGACCGCGAGATCGTGACCTGGCTGAAGTCGGACACTTCACCGACTGCGCCACCCAGGCGCCCCGAAAAACAATTTTTTAAATCTCTTGATCATAAATATACATACCCTCAACATATCTTTTTTACAGATTTTTTGGGGGTCTATCTTTACACTGATACCACATGCATATCACTTTATAGTAACTTTATAGTAAAGTCTTGAAATCCAACTTTATTTTGCTTTCTTTCTTTTTTGATGTTGTTTGGCTGTTTTAAGTCCTTTATGTTAAAATATAAATGTGAAGATTTATAGATAATTTTAATAAAGTGCTTCTGGGGTTTTGATTGGGATTACATTGATTTTACACATCAATTTAAGCAATTAACAACTTGACATTAATAAGTCTTCTACTCTATAAACATGGTTTATTCATCCATTTGTTAAGGATCTCTTTAATATTTCTCAGAATTATTTGAATTTTCAATGTCTCACTTGTTGTTTGTTAAATGTACTGCTAAGCATTATAAATTTTTGGTGCTTTTTAAATGGTAAACTCTTACCTTCCAATCTTCTGCTAAAAACTCTTTCTTTCCAATTTTTTACTACCAAGATATAGACATATAATTGCATTTATTATCATGTATCCTAATTTCATAGGGTAGGGTATTTATCCTTCATATTTCTGCCTGGGATGAGAGCTTCTGAGTGTATTTCCTTTTCTATATAACATGGCTTCTCAATTTCTGGATTTAAAAATTTTTTTTTTCAACATTTATTTATTTTTTGGGACAGAGAGAGACAGAGCATGAACGGGGGAGGGGCAGAGAGAGAGGGAGACACAGAATCGGAAACAGGCTCCAGGCTCTGAGCCATCAGCCCAGAGCCTGACGCGGGGCTTGGACTCACAGACCGCGAGATCATGACCTGGCTGAAGTCGGACGCTTAACCGACTGCACCACCCAGGCGCCCCATCAATTTCTGGATTTTAATTCATTTGTGGTTGTTTCTGTTTTCAGTATTTTAATTGGTTTTTTAATACTGTGATTTTGTAGTTCATCTGATCTGCCTTGTCTTGATTGGTAAAGTTAGAGTGATGGTCTTTTGCAACTTTCTACATATAAACTAGGAGTAGAGTGGCCCTAATATGGTTTTCATGTCTGTAGGGTCTGGAGTGGTCGCCCCTCTTACTAATTTGCTTTTCTGTCTTGATTTCTTGTTCAGTTCACTAGAAGTTTATGAATTATTTTAATTTTTCAAACAACCATATTTTGATTTTGTTAATGTTCTCTATTATTTGTTTTCTATTTTATTGATTTCTGCTTTGATGTTTATTATTTCCTTCCCTCTGTTTGCTTTGGTTTTCATTTGCACTTTCTTTTCTAGCTTCTTAAGGTAGAAGCTTAGATCACTATTGTTATACTCTTTTTCTTTCTAATATATGTATTTGAACTTATAAATTTCCCTATAAGCACTACTTTAGTTGCATCATACACATTTTGATGTATTGTATTTTTGTTGCCATTCAATGAAATATTTGATTAAAATCTATTTCAATTGAACGAAAACAGTGATTTATTTTTGGCTCATGAGTTACTTAGAAATATTTTGGCATTTTGTAGATCTTTTTCTGTTATTGATTTCTGATTTACTTCCATTGTGCTCAGATAACATATTCTATAAAATTTTAGTCTGCAGTTATTAGCTTTTAATTAATTAATTAATTATTTACTTATTTATTTATTTAATTTTATTTTTTTGTAAATGTCAATTAGGTCAATTTTGTTATTCAAATCTTTATTATCCTGATTATACTGACAGATTTTTTTTTTAATTATTCCATCAATTCCTAAGAGAAGATGTTAATAAAAAACAACTTTGATCATGGATTTGTCTATCCCTTTCATTTGGTTAGTTTACATTTCATGTATTTCATTTCATTTCATGTATTTTGAAGTTCAGTAAGATTGTTATATATGTATTGAAGGGCAAGATCAATAGACTGAAATGGAATGGGAGAAAATATTTCCAATTCATATATCTGATAAGGGATTAACATACAGAATATATAAAGAACACCTACAAATCAATAACAAAAACCAAACAACCCAACCAAAAAAACGGGCAGAGGAACTGAATAAAACCTTTCTCCAAAGAAGACACAGACAGTCAATAAGCATATGAAAAGATGATCAACACCACACCACACCACTAACCTTTAGAGAAATGTGAATCAAAACTACAGTGAGATACTACTTCATTAGGACAGTTGTTATAAGAGAGAGAGAGAAAGAGAGAATGAGAGAGGAAGGAAGGAAGGATGATAAGAAGGAAGGAAGGAAGGAAGGAAGGAAGGAAGGAAGGAAGGAAGGGAAGGAAAAAGAGAGACCTGGGTGCCACAGTTGGTTAAGTGGCCGACTCTTGATTTCGGCTCAGGTCATGATCTCATGGTTCCTGAGATGGAGCCCCAAGTTGGGTACTGTGCTGACAGTGCAGAACCTGTTTGAGATTCTCTCCCTCTCCCTCTGCCCCTCCCTTCTTGTGCTCATGCTCTCTCTCTGAAAAATAAATAACATTAAAAAAGAAATAAAGAGTGTTATTGAGGATGAGGAGAAATTGGAACCCTTGTGCATAGCTTGTGGAAATGTGAAGTGGTGTAGCCACTGCAGAAAATAGTGTGGCTGTTTCTCAAAGAATTAAATATAGAATTACTACATGATCCAGCATTTCCACCCCTGGGTATAAGCCCAAAAGATTTGACAGCAGGTAATTGAACAGATATTTGTACGCGTATGGTCATAGTAGTGTTATTTATAATAGCCAAAAAGTGGAAACAACCCAAATGTCTATTGACAGATGAATAGGTAAACAAGATGTAGTATATACATACAATTGAATGGTATTCAACTTGAAAAAGGAATGAGATTTTGACACATGCTACCAAATGATTGAAGTTTGAAGTTATTTTCCCAAGTGAAATAAGTGAGACACAAAAGGAAAAATATTGTATGATTCCACTTATATGAGGTGTCTACAGTAGTTAACATCATAGGGACAGGAAATAGAACGGTGGTTGCCAGGAGATAGTGGCAGGGGGGAAATTGGAAGTTATTGTTTAATGAATGTAAAGTTTTAGTTTGGGAAGATGAAAAAGTTCTGGAGATGAATGATGGTCATGGTTGCATAACACTGTGAATGTACTTAATGCCACTGAATTGTATACCTTGAAGTGGTTAAATAGTACATTTCATGTTATATATATTTTATCACAATAAAAAATGATTGTGGTGTCTTTCTGATGAATTTACCCTTTTAATATTATGAAATGTCCTTCTCTGTACTGATAATGCTTCTTGTCCTGAAATCTCTTTTTGATATTAATATAGCCATACTAGGTTTCTTATGGCTAGTGATTATGTGCTACATTTTTTTTGCCATCCTGTTACTTTCAATCTTACTGAATCATTATAAAGATTCTTATACACAGCTGTTTCTTACAGATAGCATATAGTTGGGTCTTGCTTTTTAAACCAGACTGACAATTCTGATTTTTAATTGGTTTAGACCATATGTAGTTAATGTAACTATTGATATGGTTGGATTACATCTTCCATCTTGCTATTTGTTTTCTATTTGTCCCATCTGGTTACTTTTCAATTTTTCCTGTATTGCTTTTTTGTTTTTCAGTATTCCATTTTATTTTACTCACCACCCTACTTTGCTCACTCTACTTTATCCACTGTAGTGACCAAGCCAAACACAGTCCCACCTCAAGGCTTTGCTTTTATTTTCTCTGCCTATTAAGTTCTACCCCCATAAATCCTTACAGTTCGTTCCCTCACTTCTACTCTGCTCAAATGTGACCTGGAGAGGCCTTCCTTCATCACCCTTATTCATTATCCCTCTTACACGGCCTTATTTTTCATTATAGCACTTGTCACCACCTGATGTTATACTTATACTTGTTTGCTGATTTTTTTTTTCTCCTCAGACTAGAATGGAGGCTCCAAAGAGTAGACCTTTGTCCTTGTTTTGTTCATAAATGTATTCAGCTTAGAAGAGGATCTGGCAAATATAAGGCTCCCAGGAATATTTTTTGGAATAAGTGAATTAAAAGGACATGTATAAATGATTGAAAGAAAGATATTTAATCACAGCAATTAAAAGAAAATGGAGTCGACTTGTACTATTAGTGTCAATCAGATTAAAACACAAATTTTATTTATTTATTTATTTATTTATTTATTTATTTATTTTTGACACAAAATTTATTTAATTGTTAAGGACTGATGGTATAATATTGAAAGAAAAGAAAAAAAATACTCCAGAACCTCTTAATTGTTTTTGCTTCTGTGTTATTTGTGAAGGAAACTAAACTTGAAACTAAATGTGGTAGAGCTGAAATTATATAGAGAAAATAGACCCATGGAGACAAAGAAATTTTAAGAACACCAAGATATTCTACATGATGTTGATTCTCCTAGCACAGAAGCTTATACTCTAAATGTTATTGTTCCCATGACATTGGAACATGTTAGGAACCCAGAGATTTGGTGAATGGGAGTTAAAGAAACTAAGAAGAATACATTAGAACTTACAGAAGAGCTACTCTTTTTTAAATTATTGTTTTTATGTTAATTCCAGTATAGTTAACATACAGTGTTATATTAGTTTCACGTGTACAATAGAGTGATTCAACAATTCTATACATTACTCAGTGTTCATCACCATAAGTGTATTCTTAATCCCCATCAGTTATTTCATCTGTTCCTCCCACCCACCTCCCCTCTGGTGACCATCTGCTTCTCTATAGATAAGAGTCTATTTCTTTCTTTCTTTTTTAATATATGAAATTTATTGTCAAATTGGTTTCCATACAACACCCACTGCTCATCCCAAAAGATGCCCTCTTCAATACCCATCACCCACCCCCCCATCAGCCCTCAGTTTGTTCTCAGTTTTTAAGAGTCTTTTATGCTTTGGAAGAGTCTATTTCTTGATTTCTCCTTCCCTCTCTCCCTCCCTCTTTCTCTCTCTCTCTTTACTTTGCTCATTTGTTTTGTTTCTTAAATTCCATATATGAATGAAATCATATGGTGTTTGTCTTTTTTGACTGACGTATTTCACTTGGCCTTATAATCTCTAGCTCCATCCATGTTGTTGCAAATGGCAAGATTTCATTCTTTTTTTTTATGGCTGAATAATATCCCATTGTGTATACATACCATATCTTTATCCATTCATCTATGGATGGATGCTTAGGCTGCTTCCATGTCTTGGCTATTGTAAATAATACCACAATAAACATAAGGGTGCGTGTTTCCCTTTGGATTAGTGTCTTTGTATTTTTTTTTTTTTTTGTAAATACCAAGTAGTACAATTATTGGATCATAGGGTAGTTCTATTTTTAACTTTTTGAAGAGCCTCCATACTGTCTTCCACAGTAGCTACGCCAGTTTGTATTCCCATCAATAGTACACAAGGGTTTCTTTTAATTCACATCCTTGCCAACACTTGTTTCAGAAGAGCTATTCTTATCCATGGTGAAGCCAGAACGTCATCAAAGGCCTTTAAATATAAGAAAAATTAGCAAATTCTAATTCTAGCCAGGACTCTGGTGATGCTAAGAGGCCTTTTAAGGTGATAGGGTGTGGCAACAATATGTAATTGGTAAGTCATATTGCTGTATAAAGTCAGTAAAAGGAATATCAGAAGCAGAACCCAGTCTCTGGCTGGCAATAAAGAGAAAAGTCTAGTACCCTAAGCCTATGAATTAGTGATAGAACTGAGTTCCAGTTAAAAATTGGATTCAAGAGTAGTCAGGTATATACTAGCACATAGTCCAATACATGAGGTCAGTGTTAAATAAAGGGCTGGAGGTCAGACCTCTATCAGGGCACAAAATTTATTATAGGATCACACAGACACAATTTTGTACACACACAATTAATTGGTTGGGAGGGATAGGACTTTGCTGTTATCACCTCAGGGTTCATTCAAGGCTGATCCTGTCTATAACTGGAGGTTATTTCTGGCTCATCTGGAATGGAGAACTTCTTGGACATTTGTGTAGGAATCAGAAAATTAGAAACAGATAAATGCTATTTTGATTTTTCAAAACTGGAAAAAGAGTAAATTCACCAAAACATAGACTCATTCATTTAGCCAACCAACCCACCCACCAACCAACCAACCAATCAACCAACCAACCAACCAACCAACTTTTATTGAGTGCCTACTGGATGCTAGGCACTGTGCATGCCTCTCAGGATACAAGGCAGTTATGGGCCCCGTTCTCATGAGCTTTCAATATATTAAATTTAAAGATAAACTCTAGAAATTAATGTCAATTCCAGGCAAAATTCTAGAATAGCCATTGCATGGATGGATGGATTTACTAAAAACAAAAATGTTAATCCAATTCTTTCTTTTTAAAAACAGTTTTGATGGAAGATGTGGAAGTGTATGATTTTATTTTGACTTTTTCCAGTTGTATCCTGATAAATTTAAATTGAGGAGACAAAAAGACTGTATGGACATAAAATTAGTGTCATAATGAGTTGAGCAATTACATACAAGTATTTCTGATGAGTGAATCAATATGAATTTGATAACAGGTTTGTAAAATTCTGTCTTCGAACTGGTTCTATATAACATTCTGATAATAGTTTGCTTAATAATAGGAAAGGCATGATTTTCAAATTTTCTGATAAGGTGAATATCAAATATTTGATGGATGGAGACACCAAGAAATGAATTGGAAGACCTGTCCTCCACATTTTATTGGCCTCCATCAGAAGTTTTCTTGGTCTTGTGAAATATATTCACCAAGTACGTCTTTAAGCACTCACCTCCAAGTAGATTCCTGTCCTCAAGGACTCTCCTGTGTAAGAATTCTGCAGCCCCTTTGACTTGGAGGACAAAATTACTAGTGTGGATGAAGATGTTGACAAGCTGAAGGGATAAGCAGAATCTAAAAAGACAAGGTTTTATCAGTTAACTGTAAGCTTATCCATGTGAGTCTAAATAAAAATTAAACAAACTGCAGTGATACAGAGTTAGGGAAAGAGGTAGGGAACTAGCTTGGCAACAACTTCTGTTTAAAAAAATGATTTGGGGGCACCTTGGTGGCTCAGTCTGTTGAGCATCTGACTAGGTTTTGGCTCAGGTCATGATTTCACGGTTCATGGGTTTGAGCCCGCATTAAGTTTTGTGCTGACAGTTCTGAGTCTGTTTGAAATTCTCTGTCTCCCTCTCTCTCTGCTCCTCCCCTGCTCACTCTCTTTCTCTCTCTCAAAATCAATGGATAAACTTATTAAAAATTTTTAAAAAATGATTTGGGGTTCTTCATCAGTGGACCCTGTGTGATATATCCACCCATAAGCTACTGTGATCTTTGTTTGCACAATTGAAAGTACATAATCTGAATGGATCAAAGATCTAAAACTAATAGAATCAACTTGAAGAGCATCAGAGAAAGGCAGCCTGGAAGAAAAAGGGACTTAAATCTTTGCATCAGGGGAAAGATTAGCAAAGCTGGAAATGACTGGCTTGGAGATGGTTTGAAAGTGGAGATGGAGATTGGGTTGCCTGAGTGGCTCAGTCGGTTGAGTATCTGACTCTTGGTTTCAGCTCAGGTCATGATCCCAGGGTTGATCTCAGGGATCAAGCCCAGCATTGGGCTCTGCTGAGTGTGAAGTGTGCTTAAGATTCTCTCTCTCCCTGTGCCCTTCCCCCACTCATGCACATACTCTCTCCTCTCAGAAGGACATAGAAGGACAAAGTAGTTGCCTTTATGTATCTGAAAGCTGTTGGGGAGAAGAGGGAAGAATCATTATTCATTTTACTCTCAAGAGTTAAAATTTATATCAACGGGTATAAATCTACAGTTTTAGGACATTTTGAGTCAATAGAAGGAAGATCTTTCTAATATTCAGAATAGTCTGAAGGTGGAGTGGGATGTATCAGAGTGACCTAGAGAGGTTGTGTAAGTATATAGATACCTAGGCCCACCTCAGAATTCCTTCTGGCACTGGGAGTCTAGGAGTTGTATTGTTTTTAAGCTTCTTTGATTATTTTGATATAAAACCAAGTTTGAGGGTACATGGGTGGCTCAGTCAGTCAACAGCATGTGAGTTTTGATTTCAAAAGTCACAGTTGATGAGGTTGAGCCCCACATTGGGTTCTGCGCTGGCAGCATGAAGCCTGCTTGGGATTCTCTCTCTCTCTCTTTTTCTCTTTCTCTCTCTCTTTCTCTCTCTCTTCCCCTCCCACTTTAAAATAAATAGATAAACTTAAAACAAAAACAAAAACAAAAAAACAAGTTTGGAAACCACCAGGTCAAACAATATTTTTCAGATATGATATCTAATAAGATATCAATAATTGATGGGAGGAGGCAGATAGCGATGGAGTTGGACAAGGCTATCTGTAAAGCCTCTTAATTCCCAAACTCATAAGGTGGCATTTGTCTTTGTGAATTCACTTTGGCTCAGGCCCTGACCCTCACCCTCGCAGGCTTAAGAACTTAAGTTGGTCTTTGTCTCATAGGTAACCAGATTTGGGCCTCCTGAATCATGTTAGAAAAACTCAGGACAAAACTAAAGGTTTGTCCAAAAAATGAGCAGAAATTCCACAGACTTGAAGAAGATATTTGCAGAAGACCCATCTGATAAAGGACTGTTATCCAAACTATAAAAAGGTCTCTTGAAATTCAACAATTAGAAAGCAAGCAACTGGATTAAAAAATGAGCCAAAGACCATAACAGAAACCTCACCAAAGAAGATATTCAAATTTTTAATAAGTATATGAAAAGATACTCCACATCCTAGGTCATCAGGGAAACGCAAATTCAAACTAGATACCATTACACACTTATTAAAATAGCACAAATCTGGAGCACTGACAATACCAAATGCTGACGAGGATGTAGAGCAACAAGAATTATCATTCCTTGCTGATGAAAATACAAAATGGGACAGTCATTCTAGAACAGTTTGGAGTTAATTACAAAACCAAACATACCATATGATCCAACAATTGCTTTCCTTGGTATTCACCCAGAGGACTTGAAAACTTATGTCCACACAAAAACCTGTACATAGATATTTATAGCACCTTTATGAATAACTGCCCCAACTTGGTAGCAACCAAGATGTCCTCCAACAGGCGAACGGATAAGTAAACTTTGGTGCGTGCAGATAATGGAATACTATTCAGGGCTAAAAAGAAATGAGATATGAAGCCATGAAAAAACATGGAGGAAACTTAACTGCATATTACCAAGTGAGCACTGGGTGTTGTATGTAAGTGATGAATCATTAAATTCTACCCCTGCAACTAATATTACACTGTATGTTAACTAACTGGAATTTAAATAAAAACTTGAGACAAAGAAGTTAATCTGAAAGGCTATATACTGTATTATTCCAACTGTGTGACATTCTGGAAAAGACAAAACCATGGAGACAATAAAAAGATCAGTGGTTTGCCAGTGTTGGGGAGAGAGATGAATATGTGGAGCACAGAGGATTTGTAGGGCACTGAAACTACTCTGTGTGATACTATAATGGTGGATACATGCCATTATACATTTGTCCAAACCCACAGGATGTAGAACACCAAGAGTGAACCCTAATGTAAACTATGAAGTTTGGGCGATTATGATGTGTAGGTTTGTCAGTTGTAATAAATGTACCACTTTGATGTGTGATGTTGATAATGCAGGAGGCTATGTATATGGGGGTAGGAGGTATATGGGAAATTTCTGTAACTTCCTGTCAATTTTTTTTGTGAATATAAAACTTCTCTTAAAAAAAAAAAACCAGGGGCGCCTGGGTGGCGCAGTCGGTTGAGCGTCCGACTTCAGCCAGGTCACGATCTCGCGGTCCGTGAGTTCGAGCCCCGCTGCAGGCTCTGGGCTGATGGCTCAGAGCCTGGAGCCTGTTTCCGATTCTGTGTCTCCCTCTCACTCTCCCCCTCCCCCTTTAATGCTCTGTCACTCTCTTTCCCAAAAAAAAATAACCGTTAAAAAAAAAAAAAAAACAAAAAACCTATGTCTTTAAAAATCTGAAAAAAAAAAAAAAAAGGAGAGAAACGTTTGCTACCCTATACAAAGTTTATCAAATCTGTGTCATTATTTAGGGATATTTCTAGACAGAATGTTTAAATTCACCAGTATTTAGAATGATATGCTGTATTGGAAATGATGCAATGAATTTAAATATAACTGCAATCTCTTTAGGGTCAAGCTGGGTCAGATTAATTTTTTTGTCTCTTGCAGAGGTATTTGCCTGGAAAGCCAGATATGCTAGATTTAGTTTCACTAATGGCCTTTCCCCATTACCTAATTGTCCTGTAATTGACCTACTGTTTATTAGAAGATGTACAGTATGAGATAGTCTCAAGTTGAGAATATTTACATATTTATTGTAACTATCATACTTATTGAATCTGGGCCCTCCTCACATGACTAGAGAATAAATTCTTCATTTTCTCTAAACAACTAGAGCTAGAACATGAAGAATCAACTTACAAATGATTGGTCCCTTAGATAGAGAGGATCTAGCTACATGTTTAGCCTAATGTCCAAATAATGTCTACTTGAGATGCTGTGTTTCTAGTAACAAATAATTCAGCATGTCAGCCTGTGGATACCAATTTAATCAGATAAGAGATTCACTATAAAGAGGACAAAGTATGTGATACTAGTGACAGTATGTCAAATGAGAAGTCGAATAGTAAAGTTCAGTTCAAAACAGAACTGAGAGTCTTGTCTTCACCCCTGACTTATTAGTTGTGTGAAAATGGGCAAGCTTCTTAACCTTTGAATTCCACTGTCATTGCCCATAGAATGGGGTTAAAAAACAAGCATGCTGTCATATTTTGTACCAAGAGAATGACAGTGGCATTATCTTAAGAAAGACTTTGAGACTGCTCCTTTGAGTAGCAGCGTTTCTGCTGCTCCATATGACATCTCTCTACTGAGGTATCTACTGGACATAACAGGATGTCACATTGAACTGTTTCTGTGCCTTGGATATGCAGCTAACTCCCCGAAAATGAGAGCAGTAGGCCTTCCATTCTAGAAACAGCCTCCCCCAAATCCTTGCAGAACCTACTTACAAAATGACCAAACTACCTGTGCTATCATCATCTTCACTCTATAAATTAGAAGTCAAGTAGAATAATTAGAGAATCTGTGAGCTTAGTGGGTGGTACATTCTTGGAGCACCTACCTCTGCCACACACCAGATTGAGTGAGGGGAGATCTAAGAGAACCTCTTAAATTTGTAAGGGTACTTTAAAAAAAAGGGGAGACTGGCTTCTTTTCTACAGGTGGACATCTGCGTGTAAAATGGATTTGCTGATTTGAATAAAGGGAAAAGTAGCTGGTGAGAAATGGGAGTGAAATATTATCAGGAAGAAAGGGAATAGAGATACTGCTTACAGTCACACTACTGTTTGTTCTAGTAGGGGTCTGTGGGTCTCTTTTGGACCTTCAGGCCTTTGTAGGAGCTAGCTAGCCTTGTACCATCTGGCCAGGATGCTGACCAAGTGCCAGATGAAGGGACACCAGCATCAAGGAGGCTCAGGTAGAGAGGAGGTTGGAAGAAGTCATGTCAGGAAGTATCTCCCTGGGGCACCTGGGTGGCTTAATTGGTTGAGGACTGACTCTTGATTTCAGCTCAGGTCATGATCTCATGGTTCAGGATCAAGCCCCATGTCTGTCTCTGTGCTGGCTTGGAATTCTCTCTCTCCCTCTCCCTCTGCCCCTCCCCTGTTTGTGAATGTGCGTGCATGCATGCGCACTCTCTCTTCCAAAAATAAGTAAGTAAACTCAAAAAAAAAAAAAAGAAAGAAAGTGTGTCCCTTACAAGAAAGTATGTAGCAGGACTGAGCCCTTTAGTGTTCAGGTTTTTCAACATATCACTTACATTTGCTTTCCATGGGATTCTTATCTGCAACCCCAGCAGGATCACAATAATGGTAGAAAACGATAATCTCTGGCTTAGCACCCACCCTATGAAATCATTGGAACCCTAGTTCCCCCAAATCCTTCCTATCAATGAAAGAAATATCCTGTGGTCTCTTATCAAGTCTTTTGATACAACCCACATCTACCTGTCTCACCTAGTTATTTCTGCTCTGATGTTGAGCAATGGCTGTGATGCTCCCAGGTATCTGTGGTATTCTCTTTGCTATTTTCAAGTGACTTAGTTCCACTTGTTATTTGGTCTTGCTCCAGCTGTCTTCATGTGGAAGCAGGAGAACACCCTCTTCTGTCTCTTGTTTTGTTTCTTTCTCATCTCTGATGGCTTGACTCTTCCATGTGATTCAATACTTATTATAAACATTTTTCTTTGAAGATAATGAGTGTCAGCAAACTGAGAGATGTTCAAAGTCATTTATTTCCTGTGACCACCCACTGCCCTGCCTCAATCATGTCCTTTGGCTTAAGTGTTGGACTTCTGCTTTCTCTTTTTAGGATGGCTTCTTTCCCCCATCAGACCATCAGCATCATCTTTATCCCTTCACAGTGTCTATCCAGGTGCATTGCTTGTGGCCTGTGGGACACCTCATTCCTAGAGAGTGCAGGGATCTTAGCCCTGGCCGTCATGTGTCAGTCTCAGTATTTCTAAGACTTTCCAGACTCTTTGAGTCTTCTTGCAAAAGGACCTGGCTGACCTTCCTTACCAGCCTCTGGGACAAACAAAGCCCATTGGATTTTGCGATAGTATATATTCAGTTTAAAACCTGATTTTGGCAACTCCTCAGAGAGCAAACAATTCTTGCAGGTGATGCTAATGGGGGAAAAGTTCTGAAGAAGAGTGGATGTGTTCATAGCATTTGAAAAAAATTCTCTTCATTTATCTTCTCTAGCAAATCATTATCTTTATAATCCAGCATTACCATGTTGGCAAATCTAAAGGCTTTGCTTTCAGAAACGCCAATAGCTACAGGTGATTGCTAACAACCATATACGTTATGTTGTAATATAATGAATAGTTACAGAATTTAATAAAAGGGAAAGGGCCAAGCAAAAATTTTGACAGATATAGGGAAATGGAGCATTTAACAGGATTTGTTTTCAAGCTGTTATTTGGGAGATTTAAATAAATCCTCTTAAGTGCTCCAGTTTTTGAGCCCTTAAGTGTGCCTTAGTTCATTTTAAGATTTTTTTTTTTTTTTTAATTTGGTATATGGCAGTCTTAGGAAAGACCATCCCGGTTGCTGGGTGAGATGAAGACGTCTCTCAGGTCCATGGATGGTTTTGCTTCTACACTAATTATACTACTTAAAAAGCTGTCTGCAATTCTTGGGGCTTTTAAAGACAATGACAGTATCTTCAGGATTCATCCATTTTGAGATCAAAGTCCACATCCCGGGTCAGGCTAATTTGGGCAGAAATTTCAGCGCTTAACAATCATAGATGCACTCCTTGACTATAAATTTCAGTTTCCTGTCATAGAAACCCCAAGAGTATATCTGTCAAAAATGTAATATTTAGATTAATTGGGGCTTTGCAAAGGCATCTGGCCCAGGAGGACCTAGTCACCCAGGGTAGGTTGTGGATTGTCCTTTGGAAGACCTCCAAGCGTGGAGGTTCCAAAACCTTCTTCAGTTTTTCTCATCATTGAAATGTCCTGTGCATTTGAGGACTTCCTTTCCTAATTTAATTTTCCCCTTTTTGGGGAAGATAAAGGACAGCCGGTCCATATCTGTATAAAATTCCTTTATTCATGATAAAAAATGATTAAAAAATGAAATCCTGGTTTCTTTATTTGAGATATTCCTTAATTAATTAAAAAATGAAACCCCAGTTTCTTGTAAGTTTAGTAAAAATTCCTACTTATTGAAACCATAGGGAACACATTGTTTCGAAAAATGTCATTTGCCACTAAACAAAGTTTCAAGTCTCATTGTAATAAATATTTATTGAGCTGAGCAGTTTTCTTACAAGAAGACTGTCTTTTTGGAAACTTAGGTAATTGGATGTGAACCATGTGGTACTTTTCAGAAGGCTTATTTTCCAGAAGGTCCTCAGAGACCTTAAATGACACTGTTTCCTACAGGGTCCCAAATTTACCTAATAACATACAAGGTGTGACCCTGGTCATTTTATTAATGCTTTTAACTGGCTAATCCTGATGTGTGAG